ACTCTGACACAAGAACCTGTGTTGGTAGACGAGACAGCAGTTGTGCAGGTACAACCTCCGGACATCCCGAAACCATCAGCCCCAGCTCCAGAAGTAAAGGTTCCTCAACCTTCACCAGATCAGTTACTTAGAGAATCCATTGAACGAGATTACAAACGAGTTCAACAGTGGCAAAAGTGGTGCACTGCTCCCCTGCGGATCTTTCTTGAAACTTTTGAAGCAATGCAGGATGAAGAGGAATTTGCACTTGCATGGATTGGCACTGATGATCTTTCAAAAGCTCTTCGAATTGAAGAGATCAATCGCGCTTTCTCTTACAAGATGACAAATCGCACTCTCGGGAAAGATAAAGCTCCAATCTGCATCGAGCTCAACAAACCACCCTTGGATCCAGTTTATGAAGACGAACTGAAGCAACTTCGATATGCCATGTTGCTTTCAAAGATCAAGACCACTTTAGAGAAGGAACACCAAAATGATCCACATTGTAATATCAGTGGCACGAAAGATGAGCTTGGACGACAGATTGAAGAAAGCGAGAGTAATGAAGATGAGAATGAAGATAATGATGATGTTGACGATACTGATGATGAGAATGATGATGATGATGATAATGATGACGATGATGATAATGATGATCAGATGGGCAATGAAGGTGCTCAAGAAACCGAACCCGAAGACAGTCACACAATTCTGATCGGTCCTGACTATGACACCTACCCTCAGAGATCTCCTTTAAGAAAACTACCATCTGACAGTGAAGACTCGAAAGAAGGTTCAACTACTCATCCCGAAGATCTATCTCGCGCTATTGTTCCGCATATCCAACCCATAGACGAGACTCCAATCAAGCACGGCAACGAAAGAATGCGTGAAGGCAAACTGGAAGCTTCACCAATCCCTCTTAGCTCAGATAGTGGTGGAAACCGGGAAGCACCACCTCAAGATGATCACATGGACACATCACCAACAAACATTGAGGAAGAATCCCCTGCGAAGTCCCCACGAACTATCATGAACATTATGAGAGGAACTGTTCATTCAGCCGAGACCATCCATAGGCAATATCTTGCTTTACGAGAAAAGGACACGAAAGTCATGGATGATCTATGCAAGAAGGTCGATCTTCTGATAGCAGCCCAATCTAAACCTCGATCCCCACCTCCAGCACAGCCTCAACCGCAGCAACAAAGCCAATCAGATCACAAGGTCCTTGAGCAAATGACAAAGAAACTTTATGATCTCGAAGCTTCTTTGAACAAAGTTGCGCGACAACAGCACGAAATCAAACACTCTCATTTTGGTCTCAAAGAGCGTATGGATTTGGCCTGTACAAAGATTGACACATATCAGGACAATTCGTACCAACTGGGCGAATATGCACTTCAAATTGTCGGATATGCTCAGGATATCTTGCTTGCAATCAACAAGGTCTCTTCCATTCCTCCTACCACCTGTGCTGATGATGCCAAAAAGGGGGAAAAGAGAAATGATGACAAAGATAAGGATGATGATCAGCCGAGAGATAGCACGAAAGATCAAGCTCGTGAAGCACGACTCTCCCCCTCTCGGACACCAAGAGACTATGACCAAAGGAACCCGAATCCATCTTCCAAGTCTCGTGGTCATTACTCCTCGAAGTCAAGATATGGTCGATACCAATCTTCCAAACAAATCAAGCCTCGACAATCATTTGGTTCTGAAGCCAAATACATCTTCACAGGACTGCCAAAGAGAGAACAGATGAAATTAAGGCAAAAGCTTATGAGAGACAACAAAGTAACTATAGATGGCATAGGAAACTTTGTGGACTTTGTCCCATATGAAGAAGGCAGTGGCAAACGATTCGAAGGTTGCAATAATCCCACTTGGTTGAAAACAAAGGACAACCATACAAGACAAAACCACATGAGCACTCAAAATGAAAGAATCAAAAGAGCAAACAAAGAACTGTGGAAGAAGCATGATGAAGAAAGAAAGAGAAGAGAAGATGAAGCAATGGAAAGAAAAAGGATCAGGAATCTCATTGAAGACCTTTCGAGTGTAACCAAAGACTCCCCACAAAATGTCATGCATAATGCAGCTTTCAAAGTGCACAAGGAATCAGGAAAGAGCTACCAAGAAGGCATGAATTCGTTTGAACTGATCTCGTGGTGGAAGTATGGTATTGTTGAAGGAAGCAACATTCGGGAAGCCTACAATAATTACACTGGTCTGAACATCAAAGGAGAACATGAAGAGCTTGTCAGGACTAATCCTATCAAAGTCTTCAGGGCAAAAATCAATGAGAAAATTGACTTCAACAGGATGCTAAAGCGACAAAAAGAAAAGGATGACCAAGAGCTCAAGGAAGCTGAACAACAGAAATCAAAGCTTTTAGAAATGTAAGTTAACTTTTGCTATATTCCTTTTATGAAGTTTTTGTAATGATCACATCTTTATATATGAAACTCTCATTGTTACACATCTCGTGTCACCTGTTTGAGTTACTTGTTCTTATATCGCTTATTAAACGCTTTTATCTAGAAAAATACTTGTAAACTCTCGAGTATGGCTATTTTTATATAAGAAAAATCCTTATGGAATTTTTATTAGCCTTATAAGAAGAGTATAGGTTTTGGCATCATCAAAAAGGGGGAAATTGTTAGGAACATTGTATTAGGATTTTGATGATACCAATGTAATGTAGAAAAGTAGACCCCTAACCTTTAGCTGCTTTTGTTTCGCTACTTTCGTCCTAGACGAGAGTTGCCATAACTCCTTTGTAATTCGTGTTAAGCTAGACAAACACACGAAAATGAGTTATGACTAGATGTTAGGATCTCCAAGGCGAAAGAAGACACGAGACATGAAGAACAACAACAAGAGTCAAGCAGGAGTTGTCAACAAACACGAAAGGACAGTGTTTGTAAAAGACGATCTTCATTAAACATTACTTCTCTTCAACAACGAGAAGAATGTTTCACCTGTCTGATTTGACAACATCCTAGGACAATAAGGACTTCATTTTATGGGACTCACTTTTCAAGAAGCATTAAATGAAGATGTACTATCTCTTGGAGCTAAAGGACAAAACCCTAATGCTTTCCATACCTTCAACGGCTACATGGTACAACCTCATTAATGGAGCATTTAATGCATGAAGCTCCCCGGTCCTTGTCCAATGGTTAAAAGGTTCGAAAAGTTCATCTCCCTCCAACGGATGAATTTTCATCACCTATATAAACTCACCTTCATCATCTAAGAAGGGGCTGGTTCATTATCACTCGACTTACTCACTTACAAAAGCTCTTGAAACGTCTACGATTTACAAAAAGCTTTTGTGAACCAGTTTTTTTTTTTTTTTTGAGGTGTTAAGTTACTTGGAGAATCACTTGTCTTACACCTCAAGGAAGTCTTGACATCAGTTTGAAGCTATCATATCTCAGAGTCAAGATCTGTTTGTTGGAGAATTCAAGAAAGCATTTTCTACCAACCTCAACTCAGGAGAAGAAGTTGATAGAGGCGGAGTAAACTCGAGGAGTTGAAAAACCTACGAAGGCTGTCCGGCTTAGTGATCAAGGAAGTCTTTGTGTAATTGTACTAAGAGTGATAGTGCAATCCTTCCAACAGTTGTGGAAGAAGAGTGGAGTAGGCAACTTTGGCCGAACCACTATAAAATCTCATGTCCTCCTTATCTTCTTACTTGCGCTTTTTATTTTGCTCTCATATCTTTTCTTTATTATCTTTACCGAAAGTTTGTCTAATTACGTAAACTCGTGCAAAGTATTTTAAAACGAATCTATCTTATCCGCTGCGCCAAGACACCGAAAGGTGACGTTTAGGGCGTCTAACGAAGAGAGTCTATTCACCCCCCCCCCCCCCCCCCCCCCTCTAGACTCTCATCTCATTCTATCGGGACCAACAGAGTTCACAATGCAATATGAACACGAATCCATAGTATGACAATTGACAACCATCTTTGCTAGCTACCCACTTTCTTATTACAGGGCAACCAAATTAGTCAAACTTTGTAAAATAATAACAATAATAATAACAACAACAACAACAACAACAATAATAATAATAATAATAATAATAATAATAATAATAATAATAATAATAATAATAATAATAATAATAATAATAATAATAAAGATTTTAATTTGAGTTACTAAGAGTGTGTTTGGTTGACAGGTTTAGCTCTAAGGAATAAGTATTAAAGTGATTCGTATTATTTGGTTGATAGATTTTTAGAATAGTACTATGGGTTTCAAATACCCCCTTAATTGAAAAACTCATACCTAATAAAATAAGGGTATCATCCCCTTTCATTCCCTTATTCCTTCTCATCCCCTTTGATTAGTGCTTTTAGATTCTTGTTTTTATTTTTTTGTTCATATTGATGTTTGGGATGTCTTTATATTAGAATCAATTATCTTGATTTTGTGTTCTTATATTTTTAAAATCTTTATTCTCATTATAAGATCATACATAACCAAACAACATTATTAATAATCATTCACAATCCACCTTACTACCAGTACCAAACATGCAAAATACTTTCACTAAAATTCATTACCATTTACCAAGTATTTGATACTCATTTCAATTTCGATTCTCATTTGCGAACCAAACACACCTAAGTTTGACTCCATGGTATAAGGATTGTTTCAACAGCTGGTCAGCTGGCAGCTAGCTACAACTTTCCTACTATTATATGGTATGAACTATGAAGGGTGATGAAGACGACAAAATTTTATTAATAAAACGAACACCCAAATTTCAAACATGAGGGCCCATTCTTCTTAATTAATGATATAAATGGTTGTTAAAACTATATTATTATATTACAAATAATAATTCCATTGAATCAAATACTTTCGAATTCATTACATCATAATACCATGTATTTATTTATTTTCTCAAATATTAGCTGTTCAACAACCATCTTTGCTACCTAACCACTTAATTATTACAGGGATAGCCATGCTAATTACAGGAATTTTATTTGCACAACCCTAATTGATATTTACACAACCATTTGATAGGTTTGCTAGCTTTATAGGTAGTATAAATGGAACAATTTACTATTTGTACCATCTTCATTAAAATTAATCAAACATTACGTTTTTTTTTAAATATTTATTATTTATTATTTATTTTTATTTCAAATTGTGACAGTATAATAATTTTGTCTATAATATTTTTAAATTATTTTGTATAGTATCTAACGTTTAATAAATTTTAATAATAAAATTAATTTTATTTTTTGCCATTCTAATATTCTTTATAACTTAAATTTTTTGTATGCATTATTTTACCTTATTATAAAAATATAACAAATTAATTTTCAATCGCTAAAAAATGTAAAAACACATTAACATCACAATAAAATATAAAATTTAAATTTCATTCCATTTCAATCCAATATAACATTCTCATGAGTATAATTAGAGCGTACGTGCTCATTGTAACTATTGATCCGATTCACATATAGGGTAATCCATGCATCTGCACAACCATAATAGGCATTGGGTACCCTCCTGTCAATGTTATCTTAACATAATGAATTAATGATTATTATTAATGTATTATTAATGTAACTAAGGTCAATTGCTACATGCTCATACCAAGGTGGTCTGCTAGATCGGAGCAATAAATATGTCGTCTTTTTTTTAAATGTTTTAATTTTTAAATTTAATTATTTAATCTAAATTTATTAAAATAATATTTATAATTTCAATATTTTTTTTTTGAAAACTCTAATTCCAGTACCTAATTTATTTTGTGCAATTAAATTACATTTCACCAGGTTGGTATAAATAGTCATATTTACACCTTAATTGCTATTTACACCACCTATGAAATTGTTGAACATTTTCACCTTTTTAGAATTCTAAAGTTATTTACACAAGGGTCGTACAAATAGCAACACCCTAGCCAAATCAGTCAAGCTTGGGTAAAAACAAAATTTTGAAGTTGAGTTACCAAGTTTGACCCTATGGAACTATTTTATTGTTTATTGACTTTTTTCTTTGTCCCTCACCGGTTTGCACTAGTATATATACAATTTCTAGAGTTTGCCTTTCATTACAAAGTCTAGAGTTTGCCTATCTTCAACAAATTAATTATGAGTGGCATGCAAGTCAATATGGGAGCTGGGGAAAGCCGCGTTGATCGAAAATGCGCCGTCCGTATGTAGATGACACTAAAGCTACAAGCAGAGGGAATTGAAGAAGCACAAATGAAGTGACTGGCAAACATGCAAATGCAACTACTATAATAAGAACTCCCCTTCTGTTATGCCCAAATACCAGATACACTGTGGCGGAGAAGGCAATCATCATAAATATTATGGACAAAAACAAGGTGAAGAGGCCTATGATTAATATGGTGGGAAGAGCATATAGGAAGTCTTCTTCTGCATAGCGCGAAGTTAGGATGGACAAGAAGACGAGCAAGGAAGTGGCGGATGTGAAGAAAGATGCAGCATTTGAGATGCCAAATACTGTGAAAGCATTGCGGTCGGAGAAGATTGGGAGGCCATTTTCACCACTGTTGCCACCAGGAACTGTAATGGCTACTGCAAAGATGACAGTAACAATGAGGGCTGCTGCAATTGTGCATGAAGTTGCTGTCTCTTTCATCCATTTCTCCCTTGCCTCTTTTAACTCCTTATGCTCCTCCGTAAAGACCATACTCGGAGTTTTGCCATATTTATTTCAAAATGAAAAGAAACGTGATGGTGTGATTTTTTTCACTTCCTGCAGATCAGATGAAATGAATCATATATATGTTTGTGTTGGTCAGAAAACCCCAGTCCCAACTCCAGCCAAATTGGTCTGTAATTGTTGAATTGATAACTACTGATATCCCCTATATGTGTAACTTTCACTGATTCACCATTAGGCAGTCTAACAGAAACTTCATGAGTACTATGATATGTCTCAAAATACTCTAAGGAGCATGTAATATGGTCTGTTGCTCCTGAGTCCATTATCCAAACATCAGAAGAGTTCAATACAGTATTTAAATGGAGGTTGGAAATAAACCTGCCTTCACTGTGATTTTCAGTAGACTGCTTGAAGTCTGGTCTAAGTCCAGTCACTGCTGCACTTGTTGAGAAATGACCAGCTTGATTTTGAGATTGCAGGAGAGTTAGCAACTTCTGGAATTGCTCAGAAGAAATTCCAACATCATTAGCTTGGCTCACAGAAGCACTCAGAGCTTGTTGTGTATCCTGACCTTGCTTTGCTTTGGATTTGTATCCTGGAACCCAACCTGATGGATATCCATGTTTTTTATAACATTTTTCAATGGTATGACCTACTATACCACAATAGGTACACTTCTCCCTGAATTATTGTTAAACTTCTTCTTATTACTGTTAGAAGAAGTAGTAGCTACAACAGCTTGTTCCTCACAACTATCCTGGACATTCTGGACAGCATTAGAATGCATTAGGTCATTACTCTTCTGGTCAATAGATTTTTTGATCTTTCTCTCCATTTTTAGTGTCATATTAAGAACCTTCTCCATCACAGGGATAGGGTCCATGACAAGGACTCCTGTTTTAATAGACTCATAGTCTTCATTCAGACCTTCCAAAAATCTGATTATCTGATCTTCTTTTTTTTCCTTCTGAATTTTACTTAGAAGAGTGCATGAGCACTTCAGTACACATTCGCATAAGGGAACAGGTCTCATTGTATTTAGTTGCATCCACAAGGCATTAGACTTAGTAAAGTATTCGTTAACAGTAAGGTTACCTTGTGAACACTTAAAGATCTGATTCTTTAGCTCTGCGATCCTATGAGGATCGACTTGTGAATACCTTCGTTTGAGAGTGCTCCAAATGTCTGCTGAGTTTTCTATATACAGAACACTTTCCGCAATCGTGGCTTTGAGAGACTTGAAGATCCACGAGCAAACGATGTTGTTACACCTCCTCCAAACTGCATAATTCGGATCCAATTCTCCAGGATTCAGAATCGTTCCATCAACGAAGCCATACTTATTTTTGACTTCCAAAGCTATCTTCATCGACCTACTCCAGGACGCATAGTTCAATTCGGATAGCGGTGGTGATACAAGGATCAGATTTGGATTTTCTGTAAAGTGTAAGTACATTGGATCGTTGAACTCATCAGAACGCTGGATGGGGCTATTGTTCATCGAATTTTGATTCTGATTCGAAGAACCTCCCATTTGTCCAGTCTGATTCTCATCGACGATTTGATCTTCCATCGTCACCACTGCGGCATAAGATCGGTGACGCTCTGATACCATGTTGAGTTTGGTTTAGTTCATGCTGTATGGAAGAGGAAAGAACAGTAGGATGTATTGAGCTCTCAATGTTTACAATGGTGATGAGAAGAGAAGAATGAAAAATCAAAATCCATCTGAGCTGAACATAGCTCAGCATTTATACAAGGAAAAAAGGAGGCAAATGCAGTTATAACTAACTACAAGGAAAAGACCTAAAAGCCCTTAGGTCCCAAGCAGTAACAACAGCAATGGTGATCAGTCTCCTTCTTCTGCTTCTTTCACACATTAGATTAAGCATGATATTGCTTACTTTGTCAGATAACATATTTTATAAGATATTATCCCAAGAAAACCATCATCCATCAATCATGAATAACCAACCAGGTCAATTCAATAACTAATTATTCCATCATCCAATATGCTTGCCGCCAAGCAATGTATCTAACGAGTAAAGTTTCAAATACTAGAATTTGTTCACCAAACTAACAAACCAAAAATAGAGTTTTACCGCATGAGCTTTGGTTGCTCTCCCTCAAGAAATTAACTCCCCCTTTTTTACCATAATTGACAAAAGGGAATCAATGTGATCATCTAGAAACTGGAGCAGAAGTCTAGAGTTTGCCTATCATCAACCAATTAATTAATTATGAGTAGACATGCAAATCAATATGGGAGTTGGGGAAAACCACGCTGATCGAAAATGCCCCGTCCGTACGTAGATGACACCAAAGCTACAAGCAGAGGAAATTGAAGAAGCACAAATGAAGTGACTGGCAAACATGCAAATGCAGCCACTATAATAAGAACTCCCCTTCTGTTATGCCCAAATACGAGATACACTGTGGCGGAGAAGGCAATCATCATAAATATTATGGACAAAAACAAGGTGACGAGGCCTATGATTAATCTCTTGGGAAGAGCGTATAGGAAGTCTTGTTCTGCAAAGCGCGAAGTTAGGATGGACAAGAAGACGAGCAAGGAAGTGGTGGATGTGAAGAGAGATGCAGCATTTGAAATGCCAAATATTGTGAAAGCGGTGTAGTTTGAGAAGATTGGGAGGCCATTTTCACCATTATTGCCACCAGGAACTGTAATGGATGCTGCAAAGACTATAGTAACAATGAGGGCTGCTGCAATTGTGCATGAAGTTGCTGTGTCTTTCATCCATTTCTCCCCTGCCTCTTTTAACTCCTTATGCTCCTCCGTAAAGACCATACTAGGAGTTTTTTTATCTTCATTCCGATATGACAAGAAATATGATGGTGTAATTTTTTTCACTTCCTGTAGTTCAGATGAAATAATCATATATGTGTGTGTGTTTCATCCTTAGATTGGGGGAGAATATATAAGAGATTGTGACATACCATACCTTAAACCATTGAAGCTCTCGTTGCATTTGAAGAGCTGCACCAGAAACAAGATTTAGTTTCTGGGGAGGTGCCAATTTCCCAGCCAAATGCAAAACGCTATTATTATCTGTGTCTCTATAATCCGGAAAATTAGTCCTAAGCACACTGGTTCCACAAACAAGGTTAAAAACATTTTCGCTACGGTTCATTACTGCAACATGAAGTATATTCTGCCGCATGGAGTTTCCGAAATAAACCGTCAAAGGATATGCTTCCGCAATATTTAAGATAACTTGCCAAATGTCTAAACTCGTTGCTTCAAGGAGTGCATTATCTGTCAGTGAGGTCACTTGTGTATCATTTAGGGTTTTGAGTTGATCGCACAAGCATTTAAGAAGCTTCATAGCTTGGTGGTGTAGCACCATTTTGTT